ATTACAAGGGGTTGTCAACGATCATGTTTGGGGAAGGGAAAAGTAGGTTAGATGAATCTCAAGATTTCAGTGGACTTGATTTTTCTTTTTTAAAATTTTTATGTATTTATTTATTTATATTATACTTTAAGTTCTGGGGTACATGTGCAGAATGTGCAGGTTTGTTACATGAGCATCCACGTGCCATGGTGGTTTGCTGCATCCATCCCCCATCATCTACATTAGGTATTTCTCCTAATGTTAGCTCTCCTCAATCCCCCCACCCCCTGCTATCCCTCTCCTAGCCCCCTCACCCCCGACAAGACCCGGTGTGTGATGTTCCCTTTCCCAGTGTCCATGTGTTCTCATTGTTCAACACCCACTTATGAGTGAGAACATGCGGTGTCTGATTTTCTGTTCTTTTGTCAGTTTGCTGAGAATGATGGTTTCCAGCTTCATCCATGTCCCTGCAAAGGACAAGAACTCATCCTTTTTTATGGCTGCATAGTATTCCATGGTGTATATGTGCCACATTTTCTTTTTCCAGTCTATCATTGATGGGCATTTGGGTTGGTTCCAAGTATTTGCTGTTGTAACAGTGCTGCAATAAACACGTGTGTGTGTGTCTTTATAATTGAATATTTTATAATCTTTTGGGTATATACCCAATAATGGGATTTCTGGGTCAAATGGTATTTCTAATTCTAGATCCTTGAGGAATTGCCACACTGTCTTCCACAATGGTTGAACTAATTTACACTTCTACCAACAGTGTAATAGTGTTCCTATTTCTCCACATCCTCTCGAGCATCTGTTATCTCCAGATTTTTAAATGATTGCCATTCAAACTGGCATCATGATACCACATGGTATCTCAATGTGGTTTTGATTTGCATTTTTCTAATGACCAGTGATGGTGAGCTTTTTAAAATATGTTTGTTGGTTGCATAAATGTCTGCTTTTGAAAAGTGTCTGTTCATGTCCTTTGCCCACTTTTTGATGGGGTTGTTTTTTCTTGTAAATTTGTTTAAGTTCTTTATAGATTCTGGATATTAACCCTTTGTCAGATGGGTAGATCGCAAAACTTTTTTCCCATTCTGTTGTTACTGGTTCACTATAATGATAGTTTCTTTTGCTATGCAGAAGCTCTTAAGTTTAATTAGATCTCATTTGTCTATTTTGGCTTTTGTTTCCATTGCTTTTGGTCATGAAGTCCTTAGAGTAAGGACCTGCCTGTGTCCTGAATGGTATTGCCTAGGTTTTCTTCTAGGGTTTTTATGATGTTAGGTCTTACCTTTAAATCTTTAATCCATCTGGAGTTAATTTTGTATAAGATGTAGGGAAGGGATCCAGTTTCAGCTTCCTGCATATGGCTATCCAGTTTTCCCAACACCATTTATTAAATAGGGAATCCTTTCCCCATTGCTTGTTTTTGTCAGATTTGTCAAAGATCAGATGGTTGTAGATGTGTGGTGTTGCTTCTGGGGCCTCTGTTCTGTACCATTGGTCTATATTGATTTTTCAATTTACATCTATACAAATGGCTTTTCTATGTGATAGGGAGCAATCACTTAGAAAGCATAAAGCAGCTACATAAACAATTTAGGAAGCATATTGTTTCAGACTCAGGGTCTCATAGATATATTATATGATTTATATGATTTTATGCTGAAACAATATGATGTAGATACACTGTTTCTGTTAAATTGTTGAGGTATTATAGCCTTGGCAGTTCCGTTTCCGGGAAAGGAAAAGGAGCTAAGAAAGGAAAGAGGAAGATTGTTTATAAAAATGCTGTTAGATTTCTGATAATATATTTAACTCGGTTTTCCACTCTGGCTTAAACAATTTATTTTATTCTATCTTCCCAAGGAAACATCTTCCTAAATTATATTTTTTAGCTTTGCACAGATATACCTAGTGAGCCTCTCATTGCCAGTGGATCAGAATCTTAACCAGCCTCCCTAGTCCCCCAACAACCTCGTCTTATCTAGCTCATGGAATCATACATTCTGTAGATTACATTTTAAATCACTCTTCCAAAGGTAGAGGCTCATATTTTCTCTTTTCTCTGATTATAGTCTACTCATATCCTTTTCTGTCCCCAAGTCTTCATTGATGGTGTCTTATTACTACATTTCTCCACATTTCAGCCTACTCTGTTCTTTTTCTTTGATCTCCCATAGTATTTCTGTGTTTACTTCTGACTGGGCACTTATTTTTAACTATTTCAATAATAATAAAACTATAGTAGTATCTTATTCAGCTTGAGTTACTATAATAAAATACCATAGACTGGGTAGTTTAAGCAACAGACATTTATTTCCCACAATACTGGATGCTGAAAAGTCTAAGATCAAAGTCCCAACAGATTCACTTCCTGGTAAGGGTTCTTTTCCTAGCTTGCAGATGACTACCTTCTTGCTATATCCTCATATGGGGGGTGGTGGAGATGGAGAGAGAGAGAGATCATGGGGGCCCCACTTGTATGACCTCATCTGTGTCTAATTATCACTCAAAAGACCCAATCTCCAAATACCATCACACTGAGAGTTAGGGCTTCAACAATGAATCTGAGGACAATATACATTCAGTCTGTTACAAATAGTTACTATTTTTAGTGTTTAGGATATGCCAGCTACTGTTTTTAGTACTTTACATGAATTAACTTATGCAATCCTTATCTCGATTCTGTAAGTATATGATTATCCCCATTTTATAGATAAGGAAATGAGTTACTAACTATATGTAGTTGTACAGCTAGTAAGTGGCGGATCTGGAATCCTACCCCAACCTGGAACCACATCTTCTTCACCACAGCTCTGAATTGCCAATAAGTATCCTTCATAGATGTTTCATTCTCTTAAAATTTGTTCTCTTTAAGGTCAAAGACAGTCTCCTTGTTCTTTGCTTCACCTCATGACATAGTCTTGTGCCTGGAACAGGGAGTTGGTCTGTAAACATCTGTTTATTGGTGTGATCTATTGTCAGTGGTCAGTGAAGTTCTAATAGTTTTTCTGGGAATTTTGGCTTGATTGGTTTGATTTGGTGGTTTTCTTTTGAAACTTTCCTTGTGTGAGATGGTTACTGTGGCTGTCAAGAATTCAAATTTGTAGCTTTCATTGCCTAAAAGAATGATGCTCATTGGTGGCTGAATATACTAATTTACGTGAGACTAAATCTCAAATTTTGTTCTGTGCTTTAAAGTAAGCATTTTAAGTTTGTGTGTTTATTTTCTTAAGTAATTTTTTTCTTATTTTTTTTTTTTGAGACAGAGTTTTGCTCTTGTCATCCAGGCTGGAGTGCAATGGGATGCTCTTGGCTCACTGTAACCTCTTTCTCCCAGGTTCAAGCGATTCTCCTGCCTCGACCTCCCAAGTAGCTGAAATTAGAGGCCCCCACCACCATGGACAGCTAATTTTTGTATTTTTGGTAGAGACGGGGTTTCACTATGTTGGCCAGGCTGGTTTCGAACTCCTGACCTCAGGTGATCCACCACCTCGGCCTCCCAAAGTGCTGGCATTACAGGTGTGAGCCACTACGCCCAACTGTCTTAAGTAATTTTGTTATTATTTGGGTATTTGATATGTCAGATAAAATGAATAAAGGCAACCTATATTTCACCTTCTTTGCAGTATCAAATCCTGAAACTATATTTAATTTTTTGCAGTTCCTCCTTGGTTTATTTGAGGGAAGGAAAGACTTCATGGAGTAAATTGTGAAGATTGGTTATGTTGAAGTTACCTTTAATATGTACTCTATGCATACAATATTAAGCTGTTGGATGAGATTATCTTTCCTAGTAAAGATAAAATATTTAGCCAAAAAAGCTGAAGTCTAATATTCCTGAAATTTGTTTATTTTGTTTCTTTTATCTGTTGTTTCTAACCACATACTGCTTGATAATGTAGGTACTCAGAACTAGGTATTTTGAGTGCTCTAATGGTTTATACATGTGCCTGAATATTGGTAATCTTTGTGAAACAAAAGCTATTTCTGGCTGATATAATAAACAAATATTTGGAAGGGTACTGGATAACTTGCAGAATCAAGGGGAAAATGGGACCATTTGTCAGTCTTAAGAAGAATAAGAATTGTAACAACTGTCACATTTTAGAGTTGCCAACCAGGAGTATCTCAGTTGTTGAATGGCTCAGTTCTGTTTTCAAGCAATGATCTGCTCAGGATTTATATTCTTGGGAGGGAGTTAGATTTGCTCCAAGCTTAAGTTAGGTGTGTCTATTCTTTCACTGGGGTGATTTGCAGGCTACCAAAGGCATATAAAATGGTAGAGGAATGTTTTTAAAGGAAAAGTTGGGGCACCACTTCCAAACAACGGGAAACAGGCAAAAATAACAGATTCCTATATCCAGCAAGGTTCATCTCAAAGCAGAGTGGATTTAAATGACAGCTTTAACTTGGACTATAAGTGATTTGGATATTACCTGGATTCATTCACCAAGTTATTCCTTTAGATGGATTATCTTAGCAGTTTAATGTATCAACAAGTGTTTTGTGTTCAACTGTGAAAACTTGATTTTTTCTGATTATATTTAAAAAATAATATTTGTTTAGCTGTTTTCAAACATCATATGTAGTTATAATCCAATTTTAACAATCATCAGCCTTTTGCCAATCTTGTGTCTGTTGATTGCATTTAAAGCGTTATTATAAGATATTTTTATAATTGGCTCTATAAAAACTCACAAGACTTAACCATGTCTGAGAACTTGCTTTAAGAACATAAATCCAAGTATCAAATGGTCATAAGTCTCATACAAAAAAAAAAAAAAAGAACAGAAGATAGCCCTGTGAAACAGTAATGCATTACTTACCTGGAAGTAAAAATATTTTCCTGTTGGTAAGGCTTTTTACTGGCTTAAGCCTGATGAATCAATTCCTTAACAGCTAACTTTTCAGATGATCTCTACCAAATTTGTTCTGGTCCTTTGAGTCTTTGCAGGTGAATCAGAGGTTTTATTTGACTCTAAAACCTGGATTTTCTCTCATTTCTTTTGCAGTTGAAAGATGCATGAGTGTAATGCAGTCCGGGACACAGATGATCAAACTGAAACGTGGAACCAAAGGGCTTGTTCGCCTCTTTTACCTGGATGAGCACCGGACACGCCTTCGATGGCGACCCTCTAGGAAGAGCGAGAAGGCGAAAAGTAAACAGATCTTTGAATTCTTTGCTTGACTTGACATAGTAACACATGGCTTATACTGAGTGGGCTCTTAAAGCTTCAGATCTGTGGAACTTTTACTTTTGTAAGTTTGAAGTTAGTTGATTTTAGATGTTGAGAGGCAGAATAGTGACCATCTTTGGGGAATTTAAATCCATAAAAGTTTTCTTGTTCATGAATGCTGTAAATGGTAATACTTCCCCTGTGTTGGAGACATGATTTGTTGTTGTTGTTGGAATATATGGTTTTACAGCCTAAGACCTTTTTTTTGAGACTGAGTTTCACTCTTGTTACCCAGGCTGGAGTGCAATGGTGCGATCTCGGCTCACCACAACCTCCGCCTCCTGGGTTCAGGCAATTCTCCTGCCTCAGCCTCCTGAGTAGCTGGGATTACAGGCACGCGCCACCATGCCCAGCTAATTTTTTGTATTTTTAGTAGAGACGGGGTTTCACCATGTTGACCAGGATGGTCTCTATCTCTTGACCTCGTGATCCACCCGCCTCGGCCTCCCAAAGTGCTGGGATTACAGGTGTGAGCCACTGCGCCCAGCCCAGCCTGAGACTTTTTATGTTCCTACAAATGGTGAGGGACATCCTAAAGCTAATAAGCTTTAAAGTGTATTGCTGTATTTTGAGCACCATTAAGTAATTAATAAATTAACAACAACATTTAAATTTATCAAGTAAAGTAGTTTTGATGTGACTCCTACTTAAAGCTTCTTTCTCCCACACCATGTTAGTCAGCTTTCCCTAGAGAAACACAATCAATAAGATGGATGGATGGATGGATGGATGGATGGATGGATGGATAGGTGTGTTAGAGAGGACTTAGAAGAATTAGCTCATGTGATTTTGGAGGCCAAGAAGTCACATGATAGGCCATCTGCAAGCTGGAGAACAGGAAAGCTGGTGGTGTAGCTCAGTTTGAGTCCAAAGGCCTGAGAAGCAGGGGAGATGATGGTATAATTCCAAGTCCAAGGTTGAAGGCCTGAGATCTGGGGACCACTGATGCAAGTCCCAGAGTGCAAAGGCGTCAGGACCTTGGGCTGAGCATAGGCTCATTTCCCTGTGAGTCATGTGGGAAATATAAGTAATCAGTAGGATATACAACACTTCTAATTCCTGCTGAAAAATAAATAAGCACACAAACCAAAAATAGTTTATTACTCTGAAATTATCCTTCTTGCTCTGTGCTTCTTTGATCCAAACTTTCGTATTTGCTCGGCAATGTAAATAATGCTAATTTCCGTGACTCCAGCCACTCCATAATCTAGCCATTGTCTACCTTTCTAGTTTTATCTCTCATTATTCTCCCTCTCGAGCTTTCCAGTCCAGCATAAGTGGCCTGGTTAGCATCCATGGAGTGGGCCTTATGTTTCTATATCTTTTTCCGCCTCTCCTCTGGTGTCACCTTGCTCCTCTCCACTTCTCCAAGCTCTGCTCTGCCTTCGCTGCCTTAGCCCTGTGGCATTTTCTCTAGGAATGACAATTGCATTTAGCTTGGCTATTTAGGTATCAGAAGTTTTTTTCCTTTCAGTTTTCTAATGATCTTCTTTTGGATGTTGCAAAACATCAAAATGAGCTCTAGGTCTTTGCATATTTTCTCTAAATAGGTAAATCAAAAATTTGACATAGTCATTGCCACCTTTTCTACCAGTCTTTTTGCCCTAATTGGCATATCTAGTTTTTTACTACAAATTTCAACACATCCTGAATTACTGCCTCAGGAAAACGTTGTCAAGACAGCTCAGGCAATGTAAGTGTTATGTAGAGAAGGTTTCTAGTGAGAAACAACAGGGCCAGACTTTCACATTTAACTTGAAACCACAACTTGCAGGCAATTATTTTTTTCATGCTTTTTTTTACTTTTATTTTTTTTGGAGATGGAGTCTTGCTCTGTTTCCCAGGCTGGAGTGCCGTGGCGCAATCTCAGCTCACTGCAACCTGCGTCTCCCAAGTTCAAGCAATTCTCCCGCCCCAGCTTCTGGAGTAGCTGGGACTACAGGTGCATGCCACCATGCACGGCCATGTTTTTTGTATTTTTAGTAGAGATGGGGTTTCACTGTGTTGCCCAGGCTAGTCTTAAACTCCTGAGCTCAGTCCATCTACCTGTCTCAGCCTCCTAAAGTGCTGGGATTACAGGCGTGAGCCACCACACTTGACCTCATACTTATTTTTTATATTTAAAATGATTTTACTTTTCTTGTTTCTTCGTGCATGTAAAAAGTATCTTTGCCTGCTGTATGACTATCTGTATATCATTTTCTTCACAGTACTTATTGATTCCATTTACAAAGTGACTGAGGGTCGGCAGTCTGAAATATTCCACAGACAAGCTGAGGGGAACTTCGACCCCAGCTGCTGCTTCACCATCTACCATGGCAACCACATGGAGTCCCTGGACCTCATCACCTCCAACCCCGAGGAGGCCCGCACCTGGATCACAGGCCTCAAGTACCTGATGGCTGGTATCAGTGATGAAGACTCCCTTGCCAAAAGGCAGAGGACCCATGACCAATATCCTTTCTAGAACTTTCTTTTGAGCTCTCTCTCTCTTGCTCTCTGTGTATGCATATGTGTGTGTGTGTGTGTGTGTGTGTGTGTGTGTGTGTGAAGTAAGGATTAGACTGTTTTAATTTTTCCCATAATTTCCCTTTCTCTTTCTTTACTCCTCACACCCTTCTCTCCCCTCCTGACTCTCATTCCAAATTCATGAATGCATGAAATATATGGAAACTTAAACTTGTATGAACTTAGGAGCAAAATTCTTTGAAGAGACTCAGTCTAGCTCCACAATCAGAGGTCTCCAAATATAGCCTCAAGTTTCCTAAGAGAAAGGAAGTGCCCATTAAGTATCATTGTCTTTTTTAAATCATAGGAATATTCATTAACTGGGAAAACACTGATTTGGATTAGAGAAAATTCTACTTTGTTATGATGTCAGTTTAGTTTAACAAATACTCTGTGAGTTGCAGTTAGGTACTGGGCACTGAGCTTTTTCCTGCTTTTTTTCTTTCTGTTTTTGAGATGGAGTTTCGCTCTTGTTGTCCAGGCTAGAGTGCAATGGTGCAGTCAGTGCAACGTCCGCCTCCCGGGTTCAGGCAATTCTCCTGCCACAGCCTCCCGAGTATTTGGGATTACAGGCATGTGCCACCATGCCTGGCTAATTTTGTATTTTTAGTAGACACAGGATTTCTCCATGTTGGTCAGGCTGGTCTTGAACTCCTGACCTCAGGTGATCTGCCTGCCCTGATCTCCCAAAATGCTGAGATTACAGGTGTGAGCCACTGTGCCCAGCCTGCTTTTTCTCTTCCTAACTTACAGTTTGGAGACTGAACTGATTGATACCAAAGGGGAAGTTATTTTTTACTTACTAATATTTACCCTTTCTTAATTGCTTGAGAAACTGGAATCTAAGTATCATTCTTGATTAAACCTTGCTTGTGGTCCTGCAGTGCTGACAAGTTAAATGTTTAATGGGATTGGTCTGCAGGCATCTTTCCTGCTGGGACTGACTGGGAATATAGCAAGGCCTTTCTGGGCTCAATTTCCTGATCTTTAAAGTGAGGGTATTAGGCTAGTTGGCTGCTTTTGTTCCCTTCTTCACATTCTGAATGGCCTTAAAATACAGGTGTCTCTGTCCATACAGAGAATAGATCTACTTCCTCGCCATCATTGGTATGTGTGCCCTAATTTTTTCCCAGGGCTTGGTGATATATTTGTGCTGCTCTAGCTATAATCCCTTACCCAGAGTATTGTTGGAGCAGAATGGAAATAATTCAGCTCATGAAAGGATCTTGACAGTATGAAAAGTCTGAGTTGATGAGCCATGATGTTTTCATCAATATTCACAGCATGCAGATAAAGGCGACTGGGATTTAGAAATGAACAAAACACAAGCAGGATTTAGCTTTCTGTGCTTAAGTCTGTTGGTTTAATTTCTAACTCTAACATTTGGTAAAAAAAACAACCAACAAAAATACTGAATGTTTTCAGGTACAGGTGTCAGAAACCATACTAACAGTGCCCTCCACAATAAAGAAAATTCAGTTTCTCATGAACAAGAGATCTGAGATGGGGCAGTTCCAGGGTCAGCTAATTCATTGGTTCAGTGATGTCATCAGGGACCCTGGTCCTGCCGTTCTCAGCATGTCGGCTTGGTCTTGCAGCTGACTGCCCTTTGGTCAGAGCTGCCGCAGCTTCAGGCAGTAGCTCTAAGCACAGCCCTGCGTAGACGTAGCAGAGTTTCTTCTCACAAATCTTTTTTTTTTTTTTTAAAGGGAAAAGAAACAACTTACCAGAAACCCCCAAAAGACAACTTCTCATCTTTGCCCAAAATAACTATTGCCGGCTCATTCCTAAACCAGTCTCTTGCAGGAGAAATTAATTGACATGATTAAACTTTGATCTCAGAACCCTTTTTTTTGCTCTTAGAAACTGAAGACTTGGGCTGGGTTCAGGGGCTCCTTGCTGTAATTGCAGCACTTTAGGAGGCTGAGGTGGAAGGATCACTTGAGGCCAGGAGTTTGTGACCAGTCTGGGCAACATAGTGAGACCCCATCTTTACAAAAAATTAAAAATATTAGCCAGTTGTGGTGGCACATGCCTGTAGTGCCAGCTACTCAGGAAGCTGAGATGGGAAGATTACTTGAGCGCAGGAGTTGGAGGCAATGGTGAGCTATGGTTACACCACTCTACTCAAGCTTGGAAAGCAGAGCAATACCCCATCTCTTAAAAACAAGAAAACTAACAAAAAACCCCTGAAGATTCTGAAAAGCTTTTGTTTATGTGGGATCTATTTATTGATACTTGTCATATTAGAGATTAAATGTGAGACATACAAATGTGTTTATAGTAATAATGAACTCTGTTGCATATTAACATTTTTATAAAAAGTATTTTTCAAAACAAAACAAGTTAGAAGAGTAGTATTGCTTTACCGTTTTACAAATCTCTTTAACGTCTGACAGTAGAACTCTTATCTGCTTCTGTGTTCAGTCGGTTGTGATGCGTGGTTTTGATTGAACTACATGAAGAAAATCTGGCTTCACACAGACATGTAGTTGGAAAAGGGGGAACTTCATGTTTATGGAGACCCCCAGGACTATACTCTGAGGACAGTTGAATTAAACCAAGATTTACCTCCTCCTGTCCAGTTCCCACTCATCATTAAAGCACATGGCTTTTGGGTGCCTGAACAAAATCGAGGTTGTTGTAGCAAGGAAGAAGAAAGAGCAGTGGCGGGGAAGCCACCAAATCCGGAAGCTTCTCGCCTCACCCAGTTAACTAGGACAAGTTCACAGCACTCCAGAGCCTTAAGTCACTTATAGAAGTCTCTCTCATAATCCTTGAAAGAGACGAGTTAGAGATGGGCATAAACCGTCTTTTTGCTTTGTTGGTCAAAAGTTTTTTGAACCTGTTTGTCCATGTTTACTGGCACTTGAAAGTTTTCATGTTCTATGGGATTCATTTCCTGAAAATATGCTGTTCAGAAAGCAGGTGTACTGTGGCACTACACAGAGAAACAATTTTATATATAGAAGCAGTTGAGTTTTTGTGTCAGTGAAGGAAAAAACGGGAAATAATAAATTAATGAATAGTTAGTAAAGAGGAAGCTGAAGTAAAAAATGAGAAGGGTTATGTTGAGTCAGGGAATCACTTTAATACAGATTTGTCAGAATTTAATAGTGTTTTAGATAATATCCTAACAATGGGATTACATCCTTAATTTTACAAACATTTAATTCTACATTAATGAAGAGAACATATTTGAGATGTTCATTATTAGATTTCACTTAGGACTGAAAATTTTAACTGTGAAGGAATAATGAGAATAATGAATCTTAAATGGCTGCATGAGAAAATCCATCCAGTCTAGGGTGTAATTTACTTCTGCAGTATGGCCATGCTGAGTGATGGCTATGATGCAGTGCTCATACTTACTAGAAGAAATCTAGTGTCATTAAGGGATCAGACCTGGTGCTGCACTGCCTAGGGTAAAGCCCCCACTCTCCCTGTACTGTGTAAATTTGGATAAATTACTTATGTTCTTTTGCCTTCAAGTTTTTTATCTGAAACATGGTAATGATGATAATGATGGTATCTACCATATAGAGCTGTGTGAAGATCAAGTGAGTATATTTATATAGTCTTTAGAACACTGCCTAGCACCTAATAAGCACTTTACAAGTAATAGGTACTGTTGTCATTGCTAAAAAGAGGTATATTGGCAAATCTTTAGCTTTCCTATTCAGATAAATGAAAGCCTGAATTCTCAGCAGATCTGTATATAAAGATGATAGTGATGGATTAGCAATTTTCTCCATCAGACCATTCTCCTTCATATTTTCCCCATCTTATCTCATGACCCCATGAGGGAAATTATTACCTCCAGAAGGCTTTAGGCGGCTTGTTATGTATGTTGTAAATTCAGACTTTATTTTTTCCCCTCAAACTGCTGGGCAAATCTGGCCCACTCCTGATTTTTGTGTGAACTCCTGAGCTAAGAATAAGTTTTAAATGGTTAAAAAAATCAAACGAACACATTTTGTGACCTGTGAAAATTATTTGAAATTAAAATCTCAGGGTTCATAAATAAAGGTTTATTGGAACACAACCATGTTCATTAATTTATGTCTGTATGGCTGCTTTCTCATGACAGTGACGGAGTGGAATAGTTGCAGCTGAGAGCAAATGTCCTGCAAAACTTAAAATATTCACTATCAGGCCCTTTACAGAAAAGTCTGCCCTCCCCTGTACTAGACAGGATCTTTCAGTGCTTTACATGCTCCTACAATCTCTTGATAGAAAAATCCTAGACCATTACTTTGCAATCAGTCTCACTCAGATTTCTCTGTGGAATGACTGATTTCTCTTTTTAAACTTATGTGTGTGGCTATAAATTATTAATTCAGGGCTTTTTTGGGCACTCATACCTTAATTGTGAAGAACATGTTTAAGATATCAGTACATTTTTACCTGGAGTTTTATACCATGTGGACCATTACTGGAAAGAATAGTTTTTTCATTTATGGAATCTTAGGGTTGGAAGGGATTTCAAGGTTAAAAGTCGTGCTCCTTGACATTGTAGGTGAAGAAACGGAGGCTTTAAGAGGTGTTGTGAGTAAACCACCGTCACAGGGCGAAGTAAGCAGTAGAATTAGGACTAGTGTATATTTCTTGGTTTGATTCCACCTCTGTTTCTACTTTACCAGTCCCCTAAAGCAATAGTCAAAGCCAGTTTCCATGTTGGTGCTAAAGGCTTTGCAGACACAGGCTTATCCTAAAGGTTTGTATCTGTAGCATACACACATGCTTAGGGTTTGGCTGTCCCTGCCTCTTCTCTGGAGAAGACTTTGAGAGGCTTTGATAAAGAATTACAGAATAAAATCATAAAAATATTACTGCCATTGGACTCCTTTCATCACTTCCTTGAACTCTAGCCATATACTTTGTGGAACACAGAGTAGTGTCCACAGTCAAAAGCCCCAAGTGGCTGCTGTGTGCCTTGAAAACAGAAAACAATGAGACTCAGGCACTTGGTAATTGTGCCAAATGTTTCACCCTTTTGGTTCTTCAGTTAATTTTCCCCCAGATCTGGACCTCCCTTTAACTTTTAGGGATCATATAAAATGAAGTCTATGGGGAAAAATTGAACTATAAAGAGCTGGGCTACTTATTTTAAAATGTTTTAAAGGGAAAAAATGTGAAATAAGGTATTTACAAAATATGAAATAAGGAAATCTGAAAATCGCCTCTACTTAATTTTAAAAGGAATAATACTTTACCTGGCTGGGTGCTTTTACTTTCTGAGGTATAATCTACAGTCATAATCTGAATCGCATAAAAAATGGAAATATGCTGTGCCCTCTCCTGTGATACACATTCATTCTCCCATTTCTTGGTTTTAAAACTATAGCTTTCTCTTACTTTGATTCTCTGGTTTCTTGTATCATCTTATTCTTTTTCTCTCCATTACCCTTCAAACATTGAATTTTAATTTGTTTTCTAAATTTGCACACAATGCCTGTCTTTTGTAACCTACCCCTCAACAACTATGAATCATCCATTTTAAAAAATCCTTTGCTAAAAGTTAACTGGGAATTTTTAATTTCTGTATTTATTACCATTTCATCTGCTTTCTCACTATGTAAAGCAACATAAGGCTTCTCTCATTGAGGATCCTTTAAAATTTCAGTTCACATGGTGTAAATCTTCTGTATCTAAACTCGGCCTCTTATTCTCAGTCACTCCATCTCATACCTGAGCTTTGAGGGCACCTCCTAGCATGTTATGCTCGTATTTCACATTACCTGCCTGTGATTTAGAAATCTGGGTCGATTAGGTGAGAACCAGCAAAGCTAGTAATAGGAAGAGAAGCATAGTGTAGAGATAGACCTTATGTGTAGAAGAGTATGCTAGATCAGGTACAAAAGGCCTGGGTTGAGACCTGGTTCTCATACTAATTCTTACCATATTTCTCCGTCTCCTCTCATTTTATATCTTTATCTGAACAATAACAAGATTGAACTAGATGGTCTAATTTGCTAAATGTTGGAGTAGGACTGAAAAAGAGAATTGAAAAAGGTACTAGGTAAAAGGGCATAGGAGAAGATAAGCCCTATATTTATGATATTTGGGGTTTCATCATAAAGAGATTGAAGTGATCAGAAAGTGATGAAGAGCTGTAATACGGGGCTGTTCCTGCTGCATGCCGTCTATATGCCTCATAAATGAAGAATTCTACCTTATGAATGGGAACTAGTAGGGACACGAGATTTGTGTTATGAACATGGCAGCATGACTAAGAAAAACTGGTCAGGAAATGAGAAACAAAAAGGAATAACGCTTAAAGTCATATAGAAATATTTCTGTTTATGGAGTTTGCTATTGGAGGTGTGAGTTAAGGTGTTGTTGTCTTGCTAGATTGGAATTAGAACAAGTGATGTAGCATTTTTCTCCTACAGTTGATCAGATATAGTGTTTTACAATAATAGATTTGATATTTAATTTGGATAAGATTGAGTAAGAATGTTTGAATTAAAGGTGCTCAGAATAATTTATCTCTCATTTCTCAGTGGAGGGAACCCCCACCTTTTTTTTTTTGAGATGCATTTTTGGTCTTGTCGCCTGTGCTGGACTGCAGTGGCGCGATCTTGGGTCACTGCAACCTCTGCCTCCCGAGTTCAAGGATTCTCCTGCCTCAGCCTCTCGAGTAGCTGAGATTACAGGTGCCTGCCACCATGCCCAGGTAATTTTTATATTTTTAGTAGAGATGGGGCTTCACCATGTTGGTCAGGCTGCTCTCAAACTCCTGACTTCAGGTGATCCACCTCCCTCAGCTTCCCAAAGTGCTGGGATTACAGGTGTGAGCCGCCGCACCTGGCCAGGAACCCCTTTTATATGTTCTCCTTCCATTCCTGGTTTGCTGTTGTCATCGTTGTTGTTGTCATCACTATTAGTAGCTCATCAGAGCCTATGGATTGCAGGGCCTCCTCCAAAGAATTTCTTCTCAAGTTCTGTGTTACTGACACATGTCCTTGTGAGTACTCTATGAGAGCAGTTTTTAATTTTGATGAGAACACAGGTTTATATATATATATATATTTATATATATAATTGCATTTTAGGTTTTGGGGTACATGTGAAGAACATGCAGCATTGTTGCATAGGTACATACATGGCAATGTGGTTTGCTTTCTTCCTCCTCATCACCTATATCAGGCATTTCTCCCCATGTTATCCCTCCCCAAGTCCCCATCCCCCACAGACCTCAGTGTATGATGCTCCCCTCCCTGTGTCCATGAGAACACAGGTGTTTTCTTTGACCTTTCTGCACGTGGGTGAAGCAGACCTTTGAGGAAGCTGATAAGAATGGTGATGGCTTGTTGAATATTGAAGAGATACATCAGCTGATGCATAAACTGAATGTTAATCTGCCTCGAAGAAAAGTCAGACAAATGTTTCAGGTCAGTTTTCACAATTTTATTGGCCTTACATAAAATACACAGAGGTTATTGATATACTTAGGTATATTAAAAGGCTATTTTGCTTTGTTGGAAGCTAATATATGTGCGCTGTACTATTTTTCTTCGATGAAGAAATGATTTTGTTTTCTCAAGTAAAAAGACTTTATAAACTTAACATGTATCCAAAAGTTCACTTCCTGAAATGCTTTTGTTATTGTTGCTGTTTCCCTGACACTTAAATAATGGAGGAAACTTGATTGAGTCTTTTGACAAAACAATAATACCTCATTTCCCTACCTCACAGGGCTGTTGTGAGGATCAGAATAAAGACTAGGTAATATGACCAAAAAATAGCACTTGTCTAAAACTTCAAGAGCTCTCTAGTTCATCTCTGAGGAGTTCAAGATTTAGTATCCATGAGGATTAGGAGGGCAGTTTACTCCTACCATTTAAGGAGCTCTCTGGAACTTCATTCCACTCCTTGTTGGTGTTAGATGAAATGCTCTTTCCCTGTTGATAAGTCATTGAGAAAAGTCCTTGGGCCCAGACTTATTCTGTGGCATCCAGCTAGGACTGCATTTAGTCCTCATCTGAGGTGCAGAAGTGAACTCTTGTTTAAGTCAGAGCAAAGACAATGTTAGGCTATTAGAAATTACTAGAGTATTAATTTATAAAAGGTTGTTATTTGAATATAAGTCATGTGTATAATCCATGTTTTGGAATGATTTTCTATTCTAAGGGAGTAGGTAAGTGATACTTTGTACATGTAAAAATAAACATAGGAGGGCAATATGATGTTTAATATTTTGTGCTTGTTTTTGAGATGGTAAGAACAGAGACTACATAGGGTATATGTTGCAACAAATGGAAGACAGAGGCTGGCTCTGTTCTGTGACCTTTTAGGTGGCCCTGTTCTTGGTTGGAGATGGTTTGCATTGTGGGAAGCTGAGTCCCATTGCACTGGAGAATGGCATGAGAGAATGGGAAGAGGAGGAAGGAGTGAGATTGGTATATAGGGAACCTGAGAGATGGAGTGAAGGACTTTGGAGGGGAAGTGAATTATGTTTAAACATATGGGAAGGTTTGACATGTTTTTGGTATTCCTTGTCATTCCACTTTTGCCTGCTGTGAACTCCACCTCCTATCTGTTCATTTGCACGGGTGATGATCACAGCATTGAAGAGGTAGCTGCTGATTCATTGTAAGAGGCAATCTTAAAGAGGAGGACAAAGTCTATACCTATGCAAATCATGATTTCTTGGGTAATTTTGTGAAGTCAAATTTGGAAGTATTTGTTCATAATTGACCCAAGGTTAGCAAAATTTTACAAAGATTTTAATGACCATGTAGACTTTCAAATCTTTATTTAAAACCATGTTAACAGTTGAGTATCCTTCACAAAATCTATGCATTTCAAAATGCCATTCATTCCCTGTCTGTTTTTGTTTAGTTACAATTGTGTTCACTTAGAATGAAGAAGATCACATAAATGGGTCAGTTGCTCATTGTTTATCCCCAATAGTTTTATGGTTTTATGAATCATTCAGCCAACCAGTAAGTAAGGCATATGATGAAAGCCTTGTGCTCAATAATTACTAGAAACAGATAATTTTAACAAGAAATCAATCCAGATGGATTGTTCAGACTTTTCTATGGAGAGAAAGCAGGGAGTTACCAATGATGCCCATGGATTTAATAGCATCAGCCCTACCTATGGCTAATTAAGAGAGATTCTCTTATAGATAAAAATTATATTTGATTGGATTACAGTTCAGAAACCAATGAGAGACTGGTATTTTTCTCATATGTTAAATATATCTTCTTTCTTTTGTTCTTGGTTAGTCTTGTTCAAGCTTTCTCATTTTTATTGGTTCTCTAGAAATCAGGCTTTGGTTTTCCTTCTCACTGTATGTTATAGCTGTTGGTTTTCTATTTTATTACTTTTTGCTTTTGTTTATAATTTATTTCCTTCACTTAATTTTTTTCATGTTTCGAGTTGAATTAGCTTTTTAAAAATATCTACTTTGCTTTCGAATAAAATTAAGACTTCAAGTTTCATTCTAATGTTATTTTATAAGTTTTAATATGTAGTGTATTTTTCACTTCTATATATTTCATTTCCTATTTAGAATTGTATTGTTTCTAGTTTTTGTTTTTTTTTTAGCTTCCTTTGTTGATTTATAAATTTACAGTGGTCAGAACAATTGCTTTGTATTGTTATACCTGAGCGAGTTAGAAGGAAAGCACCACACCCTGAGTTCCAATTGAGAGTCCTTTATTGCCGGCAACTGAGAGTCAGCTCACGCTCACAATCTCTCAGCCCTGAAGAAGGGGTTTGATTCCTTTTTATATCTTGCTTAAGAGAGGGGAGGGGGAGACTAGCTGAAGCAGAATTTATAGAAGCAGAATAAGCAAGTTAGATAAGGAGGCTGGTAACTAGGAGGCAGGAGGTCCCCATGATTGTTGTTTACTAAGGAGAGTATACACAAGCAGTTCCCATGATTGTAATAACCAAGGGGGTTATTTGGTACTTGCCATACAATCAATCAAGGGGGTATTAACAATAGCAAGGGGGCTTGCCAAGCAGGATATGGTTACAATGGTTATATGCCTCTATAGTTCTAAGCACAGCATGACCCAGCACAGTAGCATGACCCAGGTATGCACTCAAGGGAGAAATGGCGGGAGGGGTGAGGTGGAGGTTAAGATGGAATCTGTCTGGCTCTCAGCAAGATGGAGTCTGTCAGGCTAACACAAAGTAGGTTAGCACAGTATGAGGTTGATTCTTTATCATTTGTCGAAACTTTCTTTCTGGCCAAATATGTGGTCACTTTTTATAATGTTCCATGTGTGCTCACCACTTGGGATTTGTGCACTAGCCCTTTTCTGGTAAATATTATTTCCCAGTTCTCAATTTCCTATTTCTAATCTTCAAATTGCTTTATTTTTCTATGCCCTTTTCAGGAAGCTGACACAGATGAGAATCAAGGAACTTTGACATTTGAAGAGTTCTGTGTTTTTTACAAAATGATGTCTTTGAGACGAGATCTTTATTTGTTGCTTTTGAGCTACAGTGACAAGAAAGATCACCTAACTGTGGAAGAACTGGCTCAGTTTTTGAAGGTGGAGCAAAAGGTATCATTTGACGGTTAAAATGAAAGTTTACTTAAAAGTACTCATGAAAGATACAAGGATTTCTTTTGGTGTTTAATATAGGCATGCTTTAAATTTCACAAAGGGAGTAAATATCACAGGTTCACAAAAAATTTTTATCTTTGAGTCATTTAAAACAATTTTTAGCAGCTTTTAAGAGAGGAAGTGGTAACTTGAACACTGAGTTATATAATTCTTAACCTTAAATGCATTGTATATAGATATGCACATTTTTCCACAAAGAAATGAATGTTAATATTTTAATACAATGGTAAGGCTTTCTTTATACTAATACTATGATGTGTTAATAATATTAGTTTAAATTTATACTTTATATTAGTATAAATTAGTCAAATTTATTTTAAATATAAATTTATATACTAATAAAATAGCTAGATATTTAACTATGACATAATTCTTAAGTACTATTATGGTAGGCCATTGATAATTCTGATAGGAAACTGGCATTTGATCATGTGAAAAGGCTAAGTGAATTAGGTCCTGATTAGCAAAGAGAACCTCTGTAGGGTGAGTTAGAGTCAGCAAAGCAAATCTTCTCAGTGTGCTTTCTAAATATCTCCTCAAAGTCTGTTTTTCACTAAAGTGGAGGAATAAATGAATGTTTCATTCAAAATTTTTAACCTTTTATATTAGACTTCTTGAGAGGAGGCTTTGGTTTTGTGCAGTTGATGAGGTTTGCTTTTAATTTTCTTAATGGACGAATTGTCTTAATATAAAGAGCTGCTTAACTCCTTTGTTCATTTTAAGTCAATGGCATTTAGCTCTATTGAAATAATTTTTAAAAAATCATCAAATATTTGGACTCTATAGTACAATAACCAGTGGAAATAATTCTTTCTACAGTACTCACACAAATAATCAGCCAGCTTGTGCTTGAACACTTTTAAATTTTTTAATAAAAGCTTTATTGAGATATTATTCACACACCATAAAATTCACCCTTTTAAAGTACACATTTCAGTGGTTTTTAGTGTATCAACAAAATTTTGCAACTATTGGCCGGGCACAGTGGCTCATGCCTGTAATGCCAGCACTTTGGGAGGCTGAGGCGAGTAGATCATCTGAGGTCAGGAGTTTGGACCAGCCTGGTCAACATGGTGAAACCCCATCTCTACTAAAAATACAAAAGTTAGCTGGGTGTGGTGGCAAACCCCTGTAATCCCAGGTACTTGAGAGGCTGAGACAGGGAGAATTGCTTGAACCCAGGAGGCAGAGGTTGTAGCGAGCTGAGATGGCGCCACTGCACTCCAGCGTGGGCAACAGAGCAAGACTCCGTCTGAAAAAAAATAGAAAGAAAAAAAGAGTTGTGCAAATATAACCACTATCTAACTTCAGAACGTTTTCAGCACCCTAAGAAGAACCCCGTACCTATTAGCAATTATTCCCCATTTCTTTCTCCCCCGCAGGCTGTGGCAACAACTAATATTTCTATCTGTATTGATTTGTCTATTCTGGACATTTCATGTAAAGGGAATCATATCATATGTGACCTTTGTGATTGGCTTCCTTCATTTGAAATAATGTTTTCAAGATTCATTCATGTTGTGGCATTATCAGTACTTCATTTCTTCTTATTGCCAAATAACATACCATTGTATGAATATATCACATTTTGTTTATATATTCATCAGTTGATGGAAATTTGGGTCATTTGCTTTTTTGAGGCTATTATGAATAATGCTGCTGTGAACATTCATGTACAAGTTTTTGTGTGGACATACGTTGTCAAGTCTCTTGAATATGTATCTAAGTAGAAAAGCTGGGTCACATAGTTTGATCCCTTCTTTCAGTCTGGATCTGGATATTGCAAAGACTTTATGTGAACCAGGATAAACTTCTACCACAGAGCCCCAGTGAATAAAACATTGGATTAATATCTGAATATCAGAGAGGATAAATTTCCACTAGCTCTTAAGAAGTATAACTGATTGAGGATGTTCTGGATGACTTTGACAATTGTGTCTTCTTCCTTGAAGGTGTTAACAAGGATTTGAGATGGTATTAAGGAGATTGAAGTATGGGTGGGTGCTTGGATTAGTAAAATTTCAAATTAATTCATTTCGTTGTATGAATAAATACTCTATTTCCTAGGCATTGTGCCAAGTTTTGGTAATGGACAAAACCTACCCTCAGGAAGTTCAAAATAAAGAGCTTTCTTTTTTTTTTTTGGTACTTTATGATTTTGAGAGTCTATGATAAAAGGAATGAGAATGCTAAGAAATAAAACAACATGCTTTTTCAAGTTTGCTGGATTTTTCCTTTTTGAGGTAGAATACAATTTATTATAATTATTGTGCTGTATTTTTTTTCTGGAAAATTTGCTTCTTTAGAAGAAGTACCTTTGTGAAGATACTAAAAATTTTAAATAGTAATACATGGTTAATATACATGTTTTACATAATATAATATCACTTAGTACTAATTTGAATTAAATTGAATATTTGAAGTGATTTTCATTTGAGAGTTAATTCTTTTAATTCTTTTAACTTTCTTTAATTTTCTCCTACATAACCCGGAAAATTATGTTACACTTGGTGTAGTCTAAAACCTATTTGACATTCATAATTTGAGCTAGTAAATGCTGCTTATAGATTCATAAATGGCAAAAAAGTCTCTCTAATTCAAAATCTGCTCTTACTTATATTAACAAACATTTTTATAGCATTTAAATGAAATATTTGAATTTTTTAAATGTGAGATTAATTTGGTGATCAGAGTCTTTAACGTTTTGCTTTAGCAAGAATGAAAAAAAGTAGAAAGTATTTGGTAAACCACATCCATATATATGTTTTTTTCTGAATGATTTACTTATTATTGAGCCATAGGATAACATATTTTCGTGGCTTTTGAAACGTATCTCCATAATGATATATAAGAGATTTGTTTCAGTTTATAATTAAGAAAGCAGTGAGCAAATTATTAGTTATTAAATGGATCCCTTTTAGTGCTAATATGGTAGCTATAGAATAAGTTAATGTTTGTTTGGTTAATATTTTTGGATAATAGGGATGAATACTTTTCCACATTTGTTTTTTAATTATAGTTTTTGAACTTTGAAGTACTTTTTAAAATACAGAAAAATCTGTATGCATTCTGTCCTGTTTTTCTGTTGTTTATTGCCTCTCCGTGTGTGTGTGTGTGTGTGTGTGTGTGTGTGTGTGTGTGTGTGTGTGTGTTTGAGAGAGGGAGAGAGAGAGAGGGAGAGAGAGAGAGAGAGAGAGACAAACAGACAGGCAGGCAGGCAGACAGGCAAACACAGAGACAGAGACTAACAGGCAGACAGACTGGTTTTCCCCCAGTAATTCCAGGTGGATATTTATTCTGTTTAAATGTCATTAAAGAACCAACCACTAGCACCACACTATTAGTTCTTATTTGAGAGGTGGCAATACGCAAGTAGGAACCAATTTCAATGCCTTTCTTGATGTCTCTTTCAAACTCCCAAAGTTAAATGCATTAAACATGTTTTCTGATAATGTTTCTCTTTTCCTCTTCATCAGTAATATTAATCACCTCTTTTAAACAGATTAACACTTCATTTGGCAAAAAAATTTTTTAAATTACTAGACTGTGTGGTAGAATGACAGTGAGCAGGACTGGAAACATGCCTTGCTTACCTTGTGATTTGATTTCATGAAATTTTCATCCTTGACTTTGTGAGTTATAAATGCTTTTGGTAGTAACATTGCCCTTGGAAAAGTAGCGTGATAATTAAATAAGTTGTGGATGTAACTTCCTAGTGCATTGCCTGGTTTATTAGCTGGACAGATCTGGCCATTTCCAAGGAGCAATGTGAGATTCCTAGTGGGCAAGTAGGAATCTGCACATGTACTTGGCTGTAAAATTCCATAGGTGTGGAGAATTGTGTTTTCCATACTTGTCACTAGAGTCATAGCAGAGGTACCTATAACAAAAGACCGATTAACAAGAGAAAAACATGCAAATGTATCTAATAGGTTTTTAATAACACAGAGGAGCCTTTATAAGGCACTGAAGACCCAGAGAGTCAGGCAAACCCGTGTATTTCTTATGCTAGGTTTGATGAGGAGTGGACAGTCATGGAGAAATATGTTTACAGGACAAGGGGATGATCTAATGGCAGTAAATAGGGAAATTAGCAAGTGTGTTTGTTCAGATTCTTCTTGGCATCTCTGTGTCTTCGGTTCCTTTCCTCTGGGTATTGGGAAGGTGTCCATGGTCTCTTGAATGAGGGTCACATGGCCTGCTTCAGGGGAAGCTCAGAAAATTCTTCCTAGGATTTACGGGTGGAAAGACTGGGATAAGGCCAGAGATACCTTTCCTTTTCTGCAGTTTTCACAAATGCCAGGGTGCTATATTTTAGGGTACCATGTACTAAACACCGTCAGTTCTGTACGTCATTATAATTTTCTTCTAAATTACTTCTCCTTTACTCTCCCGCCCCAAGTCTCTCATAGTGTGATATAATTAAATATATATTTGGTCTTTGTTCCAGTTCCTGACACAGAGCTTCTGAAACCCTTAGAATTTCCTGAGAAGTATTTTTTATTGTTTACAATGAGCCCCTTTTTACCATATCTGAGGTAACTATTGGTGGGCCCCTGGATAGTTTCAGGTAGGGGCTGGTAGCCAGCAAAACCAACCATGTGATTAGATAACTTGCTAATACCTACTTAATATTTTATTTTACCCTATTACCATAATCACATACATTTTAAAAATAACAGATTCACTTTTTCTGAAATTTGTTGTTGCATTCTTAAGGATTAAACCAGATAGTGTTATTAGCAAAATGTTTTTATCAAAATTAGTTACTTTAAGTACTTTGATAGTTTGGCAGAGGCAGAGATTCTTTATTAACAATGTTAGCTGTAGGACAGGTCGAAAGAGGGAATAGGATAATAGAAATATATGTATGTTCCTTTAGAGGATATGTCCTTTCTATATCTTTACTCCTCTGTGTCCCTCTTTTATATCACTAC